AAAATGGTATAAGGGCGTGGGAGCAGGGGGGTGGAGGAGGGGACAAACGCAATAGAGCAATTGATTGTGGTCAAGTGAAAGTGGTTTATTCCGTTATGTGTGGGAGAGCTACCACAGCCTAATAGCTTAACCTCATGCACATCAGAAACAGGTAGCAGGGGGGAGCGTGGTTACCAGAAGCGCGCGTGGTTACCAGAAGCGCGCGTGGTTACCAGAAGCGAGCGTGGTTACCAGAAGCGAGCGTGGTTACCAGAAGCGAGCGTGGTTACCAGAAGCAAGCGTGGTTACCAGAAGCGAGCGTGGTTACCAGAAGCGAGCGTGGTTACCAGAAGCGCGCATGGTTGCGCAGGCCGATGCATGTGGAGACCCAGAAGCAGTGGTGATCGAAGCGCAGCACACAGCGGCCGCAGTCGTAGCAGTGCTTGGCGCGCACTGGTTGCTGCACTCGGCAGTACGGGCACCACCGCCGCGCACTGCTGGGATTGAGAAGGTGGGGGGGGGGAGTGGAGGGAGGAACTTGAGGTAGGCACTACCATGGGCAGGAGAGAGTGTCGGAAGCTATTGCAGAGAGATGGGGGGTTGCAAGAGATGCAGCGCAGGAGGCAAGAGAGAGATGACGTGGTGTGCGCGAGAGGGAGGGAGTGGTGGGGAGACCTGAATTGGGAGACGAGGAAATTTGACTGCGCTGCTGTGAGTCGAGATGGCTGTGCTGGCAGGGGCAGCAGCAACAATCTTGCCCCTCCTTCCCTCCCTTCAACACCCCTCCCTCCCCCTCTTCTCCCCATCACCCTTATTTCCCACCCTCGCAGCACCCCACGCCCGTGCCCCACAGCAGCTACGTCCCTCCCACTCTCCTCTGCAGCCTCCGCCCCTCTCTCTACGTCATCGCACGGTGCATCCGCCCCATCACCACACCAGCGGCACCCCCTGTCCCCGCACCACCTGCAACCCACGTGCCCGCACCACCGGCAGCCGGGCAGGCAGGGGGCGAGCAGGGCCCAGGGGCCCTGCTCGCCCCTGCCTGCCCGGCTGCCGGTGGTGCGGGCACGTGGGGTGCAGGTGGTGCGGGGACAGGGGGTGCCGCTGGTGTGGTGATGGGGCGGATGCACCGTGCGATGACGTAGAGAGAGGGGCGGAGGCTGCAGAGGGAGAGTGGGAGGGACGTAGCTGCTGTGGGGCACGGGCGTGGGGTGCTGCGAGGGTGGGAAATAAGGGTGATGGGGGAGAAGAGGGGGAGGGAGGGGGTGTTGAAGGGAGGGAAGGAGGGGCAAGATTGTTGCTGCTGCCCCTGCCAGCACAGCCATCTCGACTCACAGCAGCGCAGTCAAATTTCCTCGTCTCCAATTCAGGTCTCCCCACCACTCCCTCCCTCTCGCGCACACCACGTCATCTCTCTCTTGCCTCCTGCGCTGCATCTCTTGCAACCCCCCATCTCTCTGCAATAGCTTCCGACACTCTCTCCTGCCATGGTAGTGCCTACCTCAAGTTCCTCCCTCCACTCCCCCCCACCTTCTCAATCCCAGCAGTGCGCGGCGGTGGTGCCCGTACTGCCGAGTGCAGCAACCAGTGCGCGCCAAGCACTGCTACGACTGCGGCCGCTGTGTGCTGCGCTTCGATCACCACTGCTTCTGGGTCTCCACATGCATCGGCCTGCGCAACCATGCGCGCTTCTGGTAACCACGCTCGCTTCTGGTAACCACGCTCGCTTCTGGTAACCACGCTTGCTTCTGGTAACCACGCTCGCTTCTGGTAACCACGCTCGCTTCTGGTAACCACGCTCGCTTCTGGTAACCACGCGCGCTTCTGGTAACCACGCGCGCTTCTGGTAACCACGCTCCCCCCTGCTACCTGTTTCTGATGTGCATGAGGTTAAGCTATTAGGCTGTGGTAGCTCTCCCACACATAACGGAATAAACCACTTTCACTTGACCACAATCAATTGCTCTATTGCGTTTGTCCCCTCCCCACCCTGCTCCACGCCCTTATACCATTTCCTCTAC